TTTCAAGCCCAAGGACAGTAGGTATGTTAAGTCAGTCGACGTCTCTTAGATTTTGCCTAAAAAAGCGTATCATTTAGGTAGCAGGACATTAAACAGCAAGACATGAAATAGGTTGTACTGGGTTACATTATACCAACACAATAACCTGACCAGACATGATAAATGTTTATACTTGCATTAATCATCTTAATATCATTTTGTTTGCTTTATTTTTTTAATTAGTTCGTTAGTAACTTATTGTAAATCTAAGATAATAATAATAAATGAATGAAAAAAAATGAATGGACATAAAGTTTTTTTATTCACAAATTAATTTTTTTCTATTCTTTGGGCGCTGCATCTTGTAACATTATTTTGCTTATTATGTTATTGTTTTTTTTTTCTTAGCTAGCAAACATTTTAAATGAAATTATTAAATTTAATTGTCAACTTTAGTGCTCAAAGTTTTTACTAAAATTGTTGTTGGATGCCCATAAAAACTTTTTCCTAAATCTAACATGCAATACTAAAACTCATCCTTTAAAAATACTTCTTTACTAGAAGGGTATGGTATGGTATGGTATAACTTAGTATGGTTTAACTTAGTATGGTATGGTATGGTATAACTTAGTATAGTGTAATTTAGTATGGTATGGTATAACTTAGTATGATATAACTTAGTATGGTATAACTTAGTATGGTATTTCTTAGTATGGTTTAACTTAGTATGGTATGGTATGTTATAACTTAGTATAGTGTAACTTAGTATGGTATGGTATAACTTAGTATGGTATGGTATAACTTAGTATGGTATAACTTAGTAATGTATGGTACGGTATAACTTAGTATAGTATAACTTAGTATAGTATAACTTATTAAGAACACGTTTAGACTAGCAGAATGTCCATTTTAGCACAAAATAAGGTAGGATTGCATTCTGTGGTACATAATTTATCTAGTTGAAGAATTTTAGTTAATAATATTTTGATTGCAATGATCTCAATTCTTTTCTCCAACCATATTGAAGTGTAGCTTTGTTTAAAAAACTGAAAAGTTTTATAGGTGCCTAGTTTATCAGTTTCAGAAAACAAAATCCAGGTAATATTTAAAATACCTAATCATTTTAGTGATTAAACAAATTTTCTTATCAAAAATATTAAATAAAAGGTTACTTTAAATTATTATTTGATTTAAGCTTCTTTTGATGAACATTTGTTTGAATCAATTTTTGTTACTTTTACTTTGTTAAAGTGTAATTTTTAAATTAGGTTATAAAAAAAGTTTCACTTTAACAAAGTATTACATAAATAAAGTAATATTAATAATAGTTGAACAACAATCATTAAAGTATTTACACTTTTTTTTACGGGTTGCTGTAAAAAATAAGTACTATGTTAGTATTGTTTTAATACTTTTATATATATTACTATTTATAGGTTATTATATTATACTATGGATTATTATAATATATTACTATATTATGATTAATCATAAATTTAGGAAAAAGGTACATCAAACTTGTAAATGCTTTTGAATTTTGGATAAATCTTATGCTGTTCGGATAAAGTTTTTATGTTATTCATTCTTGCTATTACAAAACTGTCCCTTTTATCAAAACAACAAACAGAAAGTGCTAGTTTTTTTAGCTGGTTTGCTTGGTGGTATGGCTTCAGCTGGTGTGTAAAGATACATTCCATTAGAACCTGATGTAAGGTATCTTCCATCAGGGTCACAGGTCGCAGTTATATTTTCTTCTTTTATAGTCCTAATGTGAAATTTATTTGTTAGAGGGTTTTATTCCAACACTAATGTTGAGTCTATTCTTCTGTTCTTCGTCAAATAATTTTTCTTCAGACATTCTTACTCTCTCCATTATTGCTTACTTTGTTCTTCTTACTTTTAAAGGATCAACTGCTAAATGAGACATATCAGGCGTCAAATACTTTATTTCAATAAAATGTAGAAGAAAGGATGTAATTGTAGTTGAGGTTGCTGCTGTTGAAATATCATGTCTTATTGAAACTTTTGCAATATGACTTATTGACATATATATTTTTTTCAAAACTTTGTTTTGAAGTAGATCTAGAATCTTTTCCTTTTTGAAATGTAAATCCTCAATTTAACATTGAACAAAATCGTCATTTTCTATCTTTTTTTTTTTTTTTTTTTTTTTTCTGATTTTTCTCTACTCGAGATTACTTTCTAATTTTTTCTTCTCTCCCAAAATGTGTTTGGTGTTCTCTTTAATGTCATTAAAGCCCATCTGGTACTTTTTTCAACCTTCAAGCAATAAGTCATGAAAGTTCAATCTTAGGAATTTTTTCTCTTTAAAACAAGTACACTTAATATGTACTTGATCAACGCAATAATAGTTTTTTAAACCGAACTTGTAAGATAACATAATTTCACATTTGTTATATCTAGCAACTGATCCAGTTTTGATTCCCAAGAAGACATGTCTGTCTCAGAAGCTTTCCCATGTGGATTTTCCCATCTCATTCATTAAATTATCCTGGAACATTCCCATTGTTCCAGGATACTTTAATTTTCCCATTAGGATTTTGTTCCAGGATATTTTAATTTTCTCCATTAGAAAAATATTTAAAAAATTTTAATATATGCACTATATCAAATTTTTGATGAAGAATTTTATTGATGATTGTTGAACATGTCAGTCAAACATGGTGATGTTGACGTTTAAAAAAAAAAGATAAAATTAAAATTTGAGCCAACTAAATTCATGTAACAAATTTCTGTTTACCACTTGAAATGCCTTTCTAAAAATGTACATTTGATTTTTAGTTTTAATAATTGAAGAGACATAGCTTATAGAATAATGCTTTTTTTAAAACTCAACAGGAATGTTATTTTTTTCATTTCAGTCATAAAAGTTATTATTTATTAACAGTTCGTGTCAGATTTTCCAAACTTTGTGGTACCTGTCAGAGACACTGATTCCATCAATAGTTGTGAAGTATCAGTGTACTAGCAGTACTATGTTGTTAATAGTTTTTGTGCGCATTGTCAAGGCCACATTTGGAGTCCTTTGTAAAAATTGGCTTGGACTAGTATTAGGCAGTTGCTTGGACTATTAAATAATGTACTGAGTATTATATTTACTTTCAGTCAAATTCATTAACCAATCAAAAAATGACTAATCTTCCAAAACCATAAAACACAAAAAAACATTGTCATTACCAAGTTCTCTAAATCTATCATTCACTATAACTCGTGGTCTTTGAAGTAACTTTTCTCCTGTTGAGTCTAATATCTTGCAAAATTCACCAGATCGCTTTCGCACTTTGTGAGACCAATTCTAGCTCAGCTGTTTCATTCTGTGATCTTAGTGTTGATGGTTATCTTCTTTAAGTTCGTAAAAACTCCAATAGTCACAAGCTTGGTCTGGACATCTAAATTCTTAAAAATTCACACATATGTTGGCAAACTTGGTTTGAATTCACAGACTATTCTTGTATGTGCTTATGTTTAAAACCACTTTACTCTTGTTGTGGATCTTATCACTTTAGGTGTTGATTCCCACAACCTTTTCATTCTCAATCTCTAACACAAATAGTCAACTTACCAAGTCGCTTTCCAGGCAATCCGAATTGTATACCTTCTCTAATCGATTTATGAACACTATCAAAAATAAGATAAAAACAAATATTTACTTTTTAAGAGCCAAAACTCACAAATTATTGTACAATTCCATAAACTTACAAATTTTCTCAACAACTCCAGGTCAAGCCTCACTCTTCTTTTTGGTTTTCCTCTTATTGTGCTACTGTAGTTTCCAACTGTAATCATAACTTCCATACCTATCACAAAAACAATTCTCCAGAAAACAGATGTCTGTTTACTGTTGCTACAAACCAATTTTTAAAAATTTGTATAAAGTCAAAGGTTATTTTTAAATTTTGTATTCTCAGGTTACAAAATTTTGTATCTTATTTCAAAATTTATGCTCCCAAGACCTCTGCAGAATCTTTAATAAGGTGTTTATAAATCTAGCATTTTACCTCTTTTGTATGGTTTAGATTTTTTTATCTCACCTTTAGACAATGCTGCATTGTTTGCTAAGAACTTTTCATCAATCTCATCACTTGATTCCACAAATTACATCCTACTTAAAATAGTAAAAAAACAAGTTGATCCATTGCTCAACCTTCGTATCTCTCAAGCTTTTGTATCTAAAGTTATTTGCTGCTTAGATCTTTCTACAGTTTGTGGTACAGTTTGCTTACAGCCTTATTGTAAATGATGATGTTTAAAAAGTAAACGCAAAAATAACTTCGGTACCATTAAGTGGAAATCAGCTAATCAGTAGATCCTAATTTAAGAAGAAGATTGTTTGTATACTGCACTATTAATAAAACACCTCATAAATGACTCCTTACGTACTTAAGACATTCTGCTACATGACACTCAATCCATTTATAAAAATACATGATAAAAGTCTAGACCTACAACATCCGGTGCATCTTGATCTTTGACATCGAGTGGGTTTTAAACTGTCACGTCCGGCATAGTTGAAACTAATATTTTACCAATGCCATCAACTCAAAAGCGCACGGCTCCAAATTGGTTGAGTCTTTAAACAATGGACTACTTAAAACTTTAAGATTTTTGGGGAGAATGTGATGAAATAAAACATTATTATTGTTGTTGTTATATTAACATTTCTTCTTAATGTTTTAGTTAATAAAATGTAAAAAAGTGATAAAGTATTTTTTGACATTTATCCTTCGAGTTCATAAAATTTGTTGTCTTTTAATCTTAATTGCAACTTGGTACATTGATATTACTCTGCAAAAGCAATATTAATAATATAAATAATATGAAAAAAGACTAGAAAAATTAATATTATATATTATATTTTATTATAGTGTAAAATTATTATTTTTATTTTTTTAAATTGAATTTTGTATAATTTGTGATTAAATTATAAGTTCATATTTTTATTGTTTTAAACAAATATTAAATTCAGGAAAGTTAAATTTGTGAAAATGAATTTAATTTAGGTACTGCCATAGTTTCAATAGTCATTATTAGTCATAAGACAAATGATACAAATACAGCACTTGCTTTTGCAATATTGTTTGGAGCGTACAGTTTAAGTATTATTGCAGGGCCAAGTTTTGCAGGTAACTTTTTAATTTAATGTTATTATGAAAACATTTTATATACAGAAAATTTGTTATGTGCAACAAGTTAATAAAAGTATAAGATAAATTGCAAGTGCACTGCTCTATATATTAAAAACAATACTTTATTTGAAAATTTGCCAATAAATAAATATTACTCGTTAATAAGATATTGGAGACCTAGGAGAAGACAAATATGCTATACAAACTTTGTATCTATTTTTGTGCTTGGGTTATAAAATCACTGGTCTGGGGTAATTAAATGGGTAGTAATACACCAGCAATGTTATAACATTTAGCAGGGGTTGATAGCTGGGGTTCTGGAAAAATTTGTAGTACTTTGTATATTATAAATTATTCTTCTAAAATTACGAAAAAAAAATAAAAAAATTGAAAATTGTGGACTTGGATCCAAGCAGGTATGGATGCTTTTACACTTTTTTTTTTGGTATACGCCTCACTCTAGTCCACAATTTTCAATTTTTTTATTTTTTTTTTGTAATTTTAGAATAATAATTTATAATATACAAAGTACTACAAATTTTTCCAGAACCCCAGCTATCAATTGGGATGTTAGGTAATAGACACATTTATGCATGCATAGAATAAGTATATACTGATATAAACATATATGCTTGCGATTTATTTAGATGATGGAATAAAATATTTTTACATTATCGATTAAACTTCTATACAATTTATATGGTTTAGTATTTGCCAAATAAAGAAGATGATCATCAGATGGGTTTGTGGTTTGACTCAAACAAGACAGAAAATGAATCCATAATCTTATACAATCTTAGACAGAGATTGTGAAATTAATGCTCACTCATTCTTTAAAAAATTTGAAACTTCTAGCCCCCATAACAGTTAACCTCATTAAATTGTTTCTTTCATTTATATTAACTTCCTGCTACTTTATGCTTATGTAAACAAATGCTAGCTAAAGGCAACTCTGACATTAAACCTTTCTTTGCTGTGATATTCTTGGTTTAACAAAAGCTAGTTATGGTGTCTTAACAAAAACCTTAAGTAGAACCTGAAAAGAAATTGCGTTCTACAACTATTTCTTAAAATGTTTTCTAGAAAAAGACTAAAAAGTCTTGAAAAATTAACAATTTTTTTCCTAAACTAGTATCTGCAAAAGTTGTCTTTAATTTTATTGTACTCGTCATTTTGATTGATTTATTTTCATTATGCATATTTTGTTTTAGCACTATGTTATAATGCATAGATGTTCTTGCTTTAGTAGCCAATCTAATACTTTTATTTGGTTTTCATAACATTACTTTTCTATTTCTTATTAACAAAGCTGCAATCGATTTGCTTAAAATGATTTTCTATAAAATTCTTTTGTGTATGTAGTTATCTTGGGTCTCAAAGTAAGCATGTTGAAAAAAAATTTAACAAAAATAATGCCAAGTTGACAGTAGTAAATCCCTTAAAATATTATCAAAATATTAGATGAAAGGAAAAAAAATGTATCTAGCTGTAGCGATGATGGCGAAGATGATGATGATGCTAATGATGATGATGCTGCTGCTGCTGATGATGATGATGATGATAATGATGATGATGATGATGATGATGATAATGATGATGATGATGATGATGATGATGATGATGATGATGATGATGATGATGATGATGATGATGATGATGATGATGATGATGATGATGATGATGATGATGATAATGATGATGATAATGATGATTGGGAAAAGAAAATTTTTTTTTTTTTTAATTAAGAGTTTTATTTAAATTTCAATCATGTTACAAATTACCTTTGATATGTTTGTTTTTTTAATTATATTTAGGGTTTTTAGTTTTCCCTGCTGAGCAGCACCCAAAAAATTTCAACAAAGGTATTTTTAAATTTAAACTTTTTATTAAACTGCTCTAGTTTTAAAATTTGATTAAAGGATGAAAGTTGATTGTTTTTATAATAAGAACTAAAACTTTTATAAGTGTTTTTTAACTCATACAAAACGACTCAAAAGTTTTATTTTATATTTTAAATATGTAAATAAATTTAAAATTATTTAAAAAGTGTAAATCTATTAGAAACATTTTTTAAAAAAGGAAAACATTTTTTAAAAAAACATTTAAAACCTTTAAAAAAAAGTTAATATATTTGAAAATATAATAAAAAAAATTAAATCTATATGTAAAAATTTTTAAAAGTATAAATATGTTGAGGAAAATAGTCAATTTTTTGATGATGACAGAATATATTTATATGTATATATATATATATATATATATATATATATATATATATATATATATATATATATATATATATATATATATATATATATATATATATATATATATATATATATATATATAGCATCCTAGTAGGTAACTTTTGGGGACATGTTATTTTTGTTCCTGCTCTGTTGTTTTTTTTTACTTTTTTTATACTATTTTTATCATATTTATATATTTTTTTTAATTTTTATTTTATTTCTATTTTTATTTATACATATTTAAATTTATTATTTTATTATAAAAATATAATTTTTAGACTAATTTTTGTAATTTTTATTTATTTACTTTATATTATATTTCATTTTTAACTTCATCTATTTACAAAAACAATTAATTACAATAATATAACCAAATTTAAACCTTGCCGTAACCCTAACCCTAAGCCTGACCTTCATGCCTGGCCAAACCAAAACCTCAGTCGATTTAGTAGCACTCCCTTGCAAGTCAGGCTATTTGTCAGTCAATGTATGTAATTTTCGTTCTTTATAAAAGTTTCTTACAAATACATTTTTTACAAAAAAAATCATGCTTATGGGGACAAAAAATTAACAGGTACACTAAAATGTTCTCGATAATGTTAATGTCCCTGTAAGTGTTTGTTTTTTTGTAAAATCTGTCCCCATAAATGCTAAACTATACAAAGTGGCTTCTTGACTTTATATAAAGTTTAAGCACGAACGATTTTATTATTTAAACCAAGTTAAAAATCAATTCCGTTAACTGTCTTGTTGGTAATTTGTTTACTCGTTTTATTACAAAGCTCAATAAAGTATTTCTTAATTCTTTTTTCAAGTTATAAGTAATATAATTTAAAAAAATTATATAAATTTTTTAAATCATAAGTAATATAATTTAAAAAATTATAATTTCAAACAATTGATGCGAAGAGTTTTTTTAAAAAAAAAATAATAACATTTAAAAAAAAGGAAATTTTTTTTAGAATAAACATTGTTTATAGTTTGCACTGCAACGTTTTGTTCATTTGATTTCGTGGTTAGTTTTTTTTATTTATAACATTTCACGGGATTTTTTTAAATCAAGATTAAATCTATAACAGATACATCACAACACTTTATCACTAACAGAAGCTGTGATATTTAAAAACATTTTAAAAATGTCTAAATCAGTTCAAAGGTCGAAAGCTTATAGAGCAAGAAACTACTACTGTTATTGACACCAAGAAAAGAAAATAAACAAAAAAATCAAGCAAAGGTTTGCAACCAAAGGTTAAGAATGAAAAAAAAAATTGATTCCAATACCAGCATCAGTTTAAGTTCTAAACCTGACAATTCTTATAACTGCAAATCGTCAATGAGAAAGGCATTTAATAAGTAGTTAATTATATTAACATAAGTTTTTTAATATTATTGTTGTTGCATAATTTGGGTTTTATATCAATCGACATTTTTAGGACAAAACAGGCTCTTCCAAAGTCTCTAAATAAAAGACAAACCATTGTAGAGCAGTTGGGAGCTAAATATGGGTTATGTACTACTAAAGAAACAGAGCGAGTTCACTTGACATCAGAAGAAATTGAAAAAGTAAAAACTTTTTATGAAAGAGAAGATATATCAATAATGTCTCCTGGAAGAAAAGATTGTGTTAAAATTGGCGGAAAAAAAGTTCAAAAGCGCTACTTAGTTATGAATTTAAAGGAGCTGCATCAACTATATTGTGAGGAAAGTGCCGGCAAAACAATTATATTAAGTAAGTTTTGTGAATTAAGGCCTACACACATTCTTATGTGCAAAGACACGCCACTTGAAACATGTGGTTGTGTTTATTACAGTAATTTTACTTATTTGTGTGCTGCTTTGGCAAGTAAAATACCTTTTCCATTGTATTGCAATCAAGAATTATCTTTTTCCGGATATTTCCGGAATTCCGGATATTTTTTAAATTTTTTATAATTTCCGAATAATTAAATAGTTTTCGAAAATACAATTTATAATATTTTTTCTGTTTATTACTGTCATCAAATGAAACAGTAACAAGTATATATAAATAGTAAATTTGTTGTCCATAAATTACGGAACGCTATATTTAGTTAACAAACAAAGCCAAAAAGATTAAAAGATTTCCCTCGCAGAGTAAATTAAAAATTAATAAGCATTTTAATTAAAGTTTAATAAAAATCCCAGCGCAAAAGAGTGAATGATCTCCTACTTTTAAAATAAAATTAGCAATGCGTGTCAAACTCTTCTCTTTTTAAAAAAAATTGTAAATTTACATTTAAAATAGCTCTTTTAGCTATTAGCAAAGAGATTTCTTTTTTTATTGTTAAAAACTTTTTTTTAAAGTAAATCACTTCACTTATGGACTGAAACTTATCTCAGTTTGTTTGTTGGTGGTTCAAAATTACTCGTAAATAAAAATTCTGTTACAAAAGCTATGAGAGAAATCAGTTTTTAATTTCCGTCAAATATGAGAAATTTCGTTAAATTTAAACTCTTTTGAGATTAGTAAAATCTATTTCTAGAGAGCAGTGAAACAAATAGTTCGATCTAAGAATAAGAAATTTGGTATGACCTTCAACTAATAGAAACTTCTATTAATCTTACAGTTACTGTAATACTGTGGTGTAACATTATGGTCCTGCGATACAACTTGTTTTCGTAAAGGGTGAAAAAATCTTATAAAAAAAACTTATTATTACTGACTAAGATTAATTACTTTGTTAGTAATAAGTTATTTTATACAAATAAGTGTTATATAATAAAACTATATTCTAAACTATAAGGATTTTATTCTATGTAATTATTTTAAAGAAATCTAAACATATGTACTTGACTAAACGTCAAGTGAATCAAATTGCTTTTAAGTGCCATTATTAGGTTTTTAAAAACATTGCATTTTGAGGCACCTTTTCTTTTCAATTCAAAAAGCGCCTGTCAAAACTAATTATATTTTCTTAAAAAAAATCATTTTTTTAAAAAGATTTAAAAATATATATTTTTTTTTAAATTTGAAAGATTTTAAAAAAATCATTTTTTTAAATCTTTTAAATTTTGAATCACATGAATGAGCACGTGAATTATTAATAATGCCTCACCTTTTGTTTATCATAGTTAAAATAAACTTAAAATTTTTATTTAAACTTTATCTAATGAACGTTTAAACTTTTTTAGTTTTTGAACGTGGAGATTTTTTATAAAAGAAGACTTTGTATTGTAAATTAAGTTTAAAACATTTTAAACACTGAGTGGAAGAACTAATTGTAGAAAACTAACTGATTACAGAAAAATAATTCAATATCTTTTTACTTTTTATTTATTTATTTTCTTTTTTAACATATTTATTACTAAAGATTTCTAATTTTTTGTATTTTAGAAGTCTGGTGTTTATTATTGTTATTATTTCCTTTCTTTTTACTGTGATTGAAGTATGCTCCGAAAATAATTAAAATTAAATTAATTTATATTTTCCAAAAGTTAGTGTTTTACAGGTAATAAAATGTTTACTGAAAGAAGTTGGCAAGCAAAAGTGTCGGATATATGTCGGTTTATTTTGTAAAATACTACAAAAAAAACAAAACGCTCAAATAACGCCCATTGGATTTCAGTTATGGTGGCGCCTCTGATCTCTAACAACGCGTTAAACGTTTATCTATTTGTATATCTTTGGTGAATTGAAGCAATATTTAATTATCCATTATGTATTTAAATGTATAAGTGATATCTAAAATAGTTTCTACATTGTTTAAGTATAAGTATATCTAAAAAAGTTTCTACATTGTTTAACAGCTTTTAAATATAGTTCTCTACTTCTTCTTTGACTTTATCTTCTTCTTATTATTATTATTATTGTTAAAATTTTATCATTATTATTATTCTTTTTTGATGAAAAAACTATGTAGTTTTTTATTCAATTATACAATGAATAAGGATACTTTTAAACTGACATAATACTATAGTAATATAAAAGAATGGAGGAGAGCATGCCCCCTTCCTCCTTGTTAACATCTCTTTGTAAATTCCGGATTTTTTCCGGATATTACAAAAAAAATTTTTCCGAATATTTAAGTAAAAAAAATTTCTGGATTTTTATAATATGGTTAGGATAATCTATGATTGCAATAAATGGTTAGAAAATTATGTATTGTGCAAGCCCCCTACGTACAAATGCTGGATTATGAAATGTTCATTATGTAGTGATAGCAAATTATTAAGAGTTTCTTCGCCCAAAAACGAAGACTTGGATACATTAATTACCTATAGTTGGCAGATAAAAGAAGATCATCACTGTGTACTCAGTCAACATAGAAAAAACATAAAAGATGTTTTTAAACATTTCTGCAACTATTTACCAGAGTTTACCAAGCATCATCTCACTAAAAATCACCATTCTGAGCAATACCGCAGTCAAAAAGAAAATTTCGAACCAGACCAAATTTTGGCACACTTTGATTATTCACAAAACTATACATGTGGTTATCAGGACGTAGTTCAAGCTACTTATTGGTTGCAGTCAACTATTACCTTGTTTACTGTTGTAATCTACCGTTACCAGTTAGAGCCAAAATCAGTTGTACTAATATCTGACAATAATGATAAAACAAAACGCGCCACTACTACATACTTAAATGAAATATTTGACCTCTATTGCATAGATTATATAAAAAAAGTTCAAAAATAGATATATAACCAGTTCAATTCAAAAATAGATATATGGCCAAATTTATACAACATTGCACTGTTAAATATCATTTTCAGAGTATAGAATGGAATTTCTTTGCTACCTCTAACGGTAATGGAGCAGTTGATGGAGTAGGAGGATTCTTGAAGCGATATGTTTGGAATAGCGTAAAATCTTGGGAATTGGTTGTCTAAAATGCTAAAGACTTATCTTAGCATCAAATGGGTGCAAAACTTATGTTAGGCTTATCCATGCTGATGATATTAATCTAAAGTGGGCCTTAATAGCCAATGAAATAGAAGAGTCAAAAGCCGTTAAAAATATTACCAAAATGCATTTCTGGTAAATAAAAAATGGAAAATTTTTAATTTTAAAATTTTCTAATATTTTTTAAAACGAATATACTTAGTTAAAGAAATTTACTTGTCTAATATAATTATTTATTTAACATATGTTTCAAGCAGGAGATTGAAAGGGCATTTAGCATTTGTTGTATAATCCAAATAAAAATAATATGATCATACCCAGCCATCATTATCATACCCAGTCATTGTCATACCCGGATCATTATACTCATTATAAATGTAATATGATCCCAGTGATAATGTTATAAAGTGCATATTTTAACATAACTTTATTATAATTTATTAGGTTTTTATAATCACTTATCTTTTTTACACCATTCATTGTGCCATGCAATGAATTCAATAAATGCGCCATGCATTCAGTTGTTTTTCACTATTGGCATTTTCGTTACGACCGTCACGATTACGACCGTTGCGACAAAAAACACAATGCATAAAGATTGTCAAAGTCGATTTGTTTAGAATCATCAAAAAGTAAGCGTTACAACCGTCACGCTATGTTGAGACCATTTTTCAAATAAGTTGAAAATTTTACTTTAAATTTTGAATACTAAATTTTATAATAGTATTTAACATTTCTGAAAAATTTCAAATCAATGTCATTCTTATTTGACTTCATATATATATATATATATATATATATATATATATATATATATATATATATATATATATATATATATATATATATATATATATATATATATATATATATATATATATATATGTATGTATTTATGTATGTATATATATGTATATATATATATATATATATATATATATATATATATATATATACATATATTATGAGATTTTTTGAACCTGTTGTGGCCATACTTCTATAACCTGAGAAATGTTGAGTAATTGATAAAAACTGGTTTAATGTCTAGTTGCAAAAATATCCCCCCCCCCCCTGATGATAATAATGTGGTTTTTCATAGATTACATGAGGACACATAAAGCTTATTTCCAACCCATTTGTGAAAAGCCACAAAAATAAAACTAATTGTAAATTACATTTAGTATTTATAAACTACATATCATTGAAGTGGATCAATAAAAGTAATTATTTTCAGCAAGTTAGTTTTAACGCTTTACAGGTCATTCTCTCCAATAAATTTCACATTTGCATTTTCCCATTATTTTGAATTTTGAAAGAGATCTTTCATCAATTTAATGTCTTATTCAGCAATGATTTTTTTTCTTGGAATATGAACTACACTTCTTTGCTCCAGTGTTTCATAAAGCACTTTAATGCAGCTGTACACTTAATTTCAGTCAATGCATCAAGCATTTATTCATATGATTTATCATTAAAAAAATGATTTATCATTAAAAAAATTGCTGAACCAAAGTTTTGATTTGCAATAAAAGTTGCTGCACTTTCAAGTTCACATCTCCATGTTGGTATAAGAAAATAGGCAAGAAGAACATATGATGCTCTAGTGTTCCATCTAGCACTGTTCAATGGAGGAAGCTTGTGCCACTTAATTTTTGGTAATTTTTTATGATTCTTGAAGTAACTAAAAGCTTCGCATAACTCATAAAGGAATTTGAAGTTATCTCGCCATCCCAAGTTTATGTAATTATTAAGCTCAACTTCATATGTATAATTTTTTCGAAGATTTTTATAATTTTTGGTTAAGACCTTCACAAATTAATAATCAAAACCAGGACTTGTTGATTTACAATTTACAAAATGATCCGAAACGTGTTTTAAAAGGAGATCCAGTATATGATGCTGACATCCTAAATATTGTGGTTTAGTAAAGCCTCAGGTTTCCATTTCATTTTGTATGTCAATTCATTTTGTATTTCAATTGTTTTTCTTGTATCATTTTAGCAACAGTTTCCTTCATGCTTTCCCCTTGCCTTATAGTTGATCTCCATATTCCTGTCTGACTTGGAGTTTCTATTTCAATACTTTTTTTAAATAGCTTTTTACAGATCGAGCTGATTTATTTGTACTAAAAGATTCTGTTATCATAAGATTAGATGCTAATTTTGTTCTATTATATACTCTTTTCTTGATTTTTTTAATTCCACTGGTTTATAATTGTCTTGTGAATCTAAATCTAAATCACTTTCTTCTGATGCAGTTGAACTGATAACTGGACAATTATTTGCTTTGCTTAGAGCATAGCACTATTGTTAGTTATTGCTTTAAAAGTTTCTTACTACTTTAACTAATTTAAGACAAAAGCAGTATTTTGGCATACTGCTTTTGCCCAAAATGAGTAACAAAATGCCAAAATACTGCTTTTGTCCAAAATTAGTTCAAGTAGTATAAGAAACTTTAAAACTAACAATAGTGCTATGCTCTAATGTATTTATTTATAAATTTTGAAGTTGTATCTTTTGCATTACAAACTCTGACTTGTGAAGGATGTAATGACACTTGTGTGTTAGTATTGTGACCGACTTCTCCTGACCTTAATAATTGTATGTTATAAAAATTTTTATTCCAGACTAAGCCATATACCCTTAATATTGGTTATATTAAAAAGATCTCCAAAAACAGAACATTCTTCCTTTTTGCCTGGCTTTTTAAGATACTTGTCATGTTTTTCTATGACCTTTTCAATTTTTCTTTCAACTGATTTTTTAAAAATACTTGTAAAGTTGAGTTTGTTCCATAATTTACTTATTTCGATAGCCATTAACTTTATTCTTTCTTTTCTGCTTTTTTTAATTGATGCCAGGTAGTTGTAACGTCCAATAATAAAAGTTTTTTTTTCAAAAATTGGTAGACCAATTCTTGATGTCATTTATCAAGCAAAACTAAATTTTTTGTCCTCTTGAATATTTGTCAACAACAGTTTTGCTATATTTATTTGGCATAGTTAGTTTTAAACAAAAAAAATTATTAAAATCATTTCAATAGTTAGTTTTAAACTAAAAAAATTATGTTTTATTTTTAACAAATTGTTTCGGCTACACAATAAATTTCATTTACTGACCCACTTTTTTTACAGAATATATATATATTTTTTTCAGATGGTTTTTTTGGGAAGTACGAAATATTTTTACCTAATTTAATAATTTCGTTGTGCATGGTTGTATCTACTTCTATGATTGTTAAATATCTTCCATCTTGCAACACGTAAGAATATATTATCAACATTATCTGTAACTTTTAAATAATTGTTCAGATATTTTTGATTCATTATTGTTAATTTTTACTTTTTTTGTAACTTTAATGCTTAAATTTTTTTCTAAAAATAATTTGTTGAGTTAAAATTTAGGGGAAAGTTGCCTTAATTGGAAAACTTAAGGAATAAATATTTATTACCCAAAGATGGCTTCACTATGAAAATATTTATGATTTGATTTATACAAACAGACATCCCTACTATACTTTTAATCACAATTTGACTTAATTGATTGAACTCTTATTGGAAATAAATTTGTTTTTGCAAAGTTACCATTTTATTTCAATCAAGACAACTAGTTCTCTAAATTGGAACACTTTGATTCCTTCATCAGAGCAGGTTATTTTTTTAAAGCAAAACAACAGTAAAATCAACAAAAATTTGTAAAAAATGATTTTGATCTTTACAGTGAAAATTTAAACAGTTAATTCAAAACTTATTATAGGATTAGTATTACCCTGATAAATTTAAAGTCTACAAACAAAAAATTGTATAAAGTATTTTTTAAATTGCACTCGAACTACTTTTACAACCCTTTTTTATTACTGATAGATAAGGAAAACTTCAATGTTCCAATTAATAAAACTTTTGACTATTTTGTTATGATATAACAATAACATGCTTGCAGCAACTTATAAAATAAATTTATATTGTTATTTTGCATTTTAAATCCCATCAAATTAAACACAAAAAACGGTATAACCTGTTGCACCATAGTTTACCCAGCGCAATCAATTTAGTGTGAACATAAAATTAGATAGCGGAAAAAAATGACACAAAAAAAATTTAAATCAATGGTGCAAACTCATTTTTTGAGGAATAACTTTCAAAATGTGTCAAAATGTAGAAAATAATGCGTTGTACTAAAAAAATGCAAAATATAGCCATAATTCATTTTTTTTCAAAAGTAAATGCAAGAGTTCCAATTTAGGCGCTGTTTCAATTTCTTCAACTCTTCCCTATATACATATACAACCCATCACTCGGACAGTTTTAACATTTTGTTACCCAAATAACCAATGAACTTACTTTTGACTCTCTCGACATGCTGTTTTTTTAAATAATCCTACAATCAGATAAATTGAGTGAGGCTACAATATTTTTTATATTCAAAATAAATTTTTGTGAATTTGTTATATTAATATTTTAGGTATGACAATGTAACTGTCTACAGTTTAATTTGCAAAAACAAAATTTTATAAAGGTATTTAAAGCTGTTAGCATACCCCTCCATTGGGTAAGTTTGGTGACATTGTTTAGAAAGGAGACGTGAACCAATTAAATGCTCATTTGCGGTGCTCTGTGATTAGACCGTAAGGACATTTTGGGGCATTTAAATAATTATACAAAAAAAAATTATAATTAGTAGCAGAGAATAGATTATTTAAACAGAAATAAAGTTAAAGAAAAAGAATTCACATTATCAAATGAAAGGCTAATTAACTGTGCAAAATGAAGTTTTGGTATCAAAGAAGGATAAGGTAATTTAAATTCACTGTTCCCGCAAAATAAACATCAAAGTTTTATGCTTCTTGGAAACTTAGTGTAAAAAATAATTATAAAAATTAAGTAACCAACTAAAAAAGACACAACTAGTAGTTATAAAGATGATGATTGAATTGTCAATCAAATACGAACTTCTGGGCTCAACTGAGTTAATAGACTATTTTTATTTTTTCTTTATATCCATATCATCTGATTGATCATATTTCTAAGTATAAATAAGGTATTTAAAGCTGCTGGCATACTCCAGTTTGCAACCTGTTACACTCAGTTTTGAAAATTACGCATTTTTTGATTTTTCTATTGAGTAAACAAATATGAAAACTGTCTTTTAAATGCTAAAAGACATAATAATTAATAAGGTCTTGTGATTTAATGCATTCAAAAGTTTCTGCAGAGAGATAATAAGAATGTAGTTTTAAGTACTATGTCATCAACATTTAGAAAAATCCCTTCTAGATTGCATTCAATATGCACATTTCAAATTTTAAGTACTAAGTTACTAATGTAAAACCTAAACAGTAATGATGATAAAATACCACCTTGTTGCACACTATTTCCTAAACTAAAAGCAGTAGATTTTGCTTTCAGCCAACTAATACACATTTTTTGATTACTGTATTAGAATGCAAGCAGACTATCAATATTGCTTAAAAGTTCTTGATCTATTAGGTTGCAGAACGGAAACCAGTAATCGATGTTATTAATTTCTTTATTAAAATCTAAAAAAAAATGTAAAATAGATGTGTAGTAGTTGATAGCTTTCTTTAAGCTTTAAGCTTTCTTTTCTTGAAGAATGCTTCTATTTGAAGCCAAACTAATAATCATCTAAATTATCTGGATTTTTTTTTTTTTTTTTTTGTAACAAAATATTTTGTATATTATTGATACAGCTGGGATACTGCAATTGCCCTGTAAATATTCACATCAGTTAGACTGGCTATTACAAGAGTATCATTTAGTAGTACTATTAGACAATTTAGGATAAGTTTTGTCTTTTTTTATTTCAGTTGTGCTTTTCAATGAGCAAGAAAAAATGAACAAAATTAGTTTATGATCTGAAGCTATAGCATCTGTCAGTACTGAAATATTTATTATTAGATTATTAATTGTTGGGCTGCATAGAGTGTGATCTAACCAAGAGACATGATTTCCATCGTCACTAACATAACTAAAAGTGTTAATGATACGGTTGATATTGGATTTAAATATGATATTTTCTATTATTTATCAAATATTCTAGACTCTTCCTCGCCAATTGTAGTTGCTAGCAATAATTATTTGGATAATATCTGCCTCATCTATAATAACTTTAATGTAATGTATTGTATTAATTAAGTTCTTTACATCATTTATCTTATTACATTTTTGTTTCAATTTATAATATATGTTATTGTTTAGTTATGAGTTGTGTTTATGATTAAAAAAGTTTTCGGCTTTTTAATTTTAGGAAGCAAAATGTGGAACCAGTTGATGTTGTTTACAAAGAAAACTCAGTTTTATTAAATGAAAATCAGTATTCAAATATTTCATATGGAGAAAATGTACAAAAAGATTTAATTTCACCTGAAGTAACAGAACCGATTTCTGTTAAAGATAATTTTTATTTAAGAATCAAAAAAAGATTAGTTACTTCAAGTTTTCTTCAACCTCTCATGTAAGATCATATTAATTTTTGAAAATACTTTTTATATCTTAACTTGAAATTTTTTATTTTGGTTTGTTATTTCTTTATTTAAAAATTAGTTAAAGTTAATATTTTTTTTATTCAAAACAAAAAATTCGTTTTAGTTTAAATGCATATATATAAATATATATTTACAAACAAAGTTTGAAATATACATTTTAATTGTTGTTATTTATATTATTAACAGTGATGCATCCAGGATTTTTTCGTGTTTGCGAAAGCCAACTTCCAGACATGAAGCAAACTTCAAACATTTGTATGTTTATACTTATGTCAAATAATGAGGTTTTGCAAAAAATTCTAATGATTGGAAGCTAGGAACTAAAACACCCTTTAACTTTATTCCCCTCCCCACCCCAAATATTAGGAGCAACAAATTGATAAAACATTTTTTGTGTTATTCTTAATTAGACTTCATCGATAAATTTTAAGTTTAAGTTAATTTTAGTTAATTTTAAATTGATTCATCAATAAATTTAATTTTAAGTTAATTTTAAATCAATTCATCGATAAATTTTAATTTATCGATGAATCGCCTTATTATTTGTGATTTACTATAACTTCCTGAACTTTTAACAGCTAATTACAATTTTTTATTACAAAGGATTTGTGATTCGAACTACACCATTGGGCAAGTTTTCCAACATCAGTTGGGAAGGAGACATGAACTTCCTATTGAATGTTCATCCGCAGTGCTCTGTGATAAATCCGTAAGGACTTCTAGGGTCACCTATATAAATATATATTTAAAAAAAGATTATAATTAGTAGAAATATAGTAATAAATAAAGTAAAATAAAAAATGAATTGGAATTTACACTATCAAATGAAAAGTTAATTAAATGTGCAAAATGAAGCTTTGTCATTAAAAAAGGAAAAGATAATTTAAATTCACTGTTCACGCAAACTAAACATTAAAGTTTTATATCAAAGTTTTGATGGGTCTCAAAAGAAGCAAAATTATATAAAAACTTCAAAAATAATTATCATTTCATAAAAAAGTTTATATTTTAAATTTTAGTGAACAGAAATTGACGTTTTTGACTAAAAACGAAAAATAGGAAATTTGACAAGATTTTTTAATTTTATATTTTTTTTAGCAATGTTTTTTTATAAAATAATTATTAATTTTAAAATTTTTATATAATTTTGCTTCTTTTGCGATGCAGCATAATATACTTTTGAAGAACTATTTTTTTGATAATTTTAGGAACCCATATGATGTTCAATGTTCTTGGGGGACCACTAAAAAATTTTTTTATTCAAAATTTTTTTAAATCCAGTGTTATTTTATCATAAAAAACATATTAAGATGAGTGGCAGCATAGATTTTTCAAAAGTGTTGTTATATGGGACACCCTAATAAATATGCAGAACATGTAAACTGATAGATATTGTACAAACATGTAAATTGACAGATATTGTACATTGTACAATAATATTGTGCGGCTGTGGCGCAGTGGTCAGAGTGCTTGCTTTAGAAGCAGGAGATCCAGGTTCAAAGCGAGCTCTGGATATATTTTCGCGTCACGGTAAGGAAGGAGGCGTGAACTTCCTGATTAAATGCACATCTGCGGTGTTCTGTGACAAGACCGTTAGACCATTAGAAAACTGAACATGATCAATGTGAACAAATAAAATGTGTTCAAAAAAACTTCAAAATTGGAGAGATTCATTCAAAACATGTTTTTACCATGCTCATGTTATAAAGATGATAGAATTAAAGAGCACCTGATGTTTGGGGATCAACTTATTTAAGAATGGTGGGAGAGATAATTAAAAGTGTGAGAGCAAAGAAAAGTGGTTATTAATTAGTGAATCTCCAAAAGTGGTTATTACAGGGTTCCCACTCCTCCTTAAAAACCTTAAATAGCCTTAAAAAATAAAAACCGCCTTAAATGTCCTTAAATAACCTTAAAAAAGTTAAAATTTGACTGCTTTCCTTAATTTCTCCTTAATTTTTTTTTTTTTTTGTTAATCATCTAAAAAAAATTTATTAAAGTGAATGGATTATACTTGTTAATAAAGAAGATAATATATAGATTTTTGATAGTTTTATATATATATATATATATATATTTATATATATATATATATATATATATATATATATATATATATATATATATATATATACATATATATATATATATATATATATATATATATATATATATATATATATATATATATATATATATATATATATATATATATATATATATATACACACACTTTATATTTATATATATATATATATATATATACTTTATATATATATATATATATATATATATATATTTTATATATATATATATATACTTTATATATATATATATATATATATATATATATATATATATATATATATATATATATATATATATATTTATATATATATATATATATATATATATATATATATATATATACTTTATATATATATATATATACTTTATATATATATACTTTATATATATATACTTTATATATATATATATATATATATATATATATATATATATATATATATATATATATATATATATATATATATAAAGTGAATGGATTTTATATATATATAAAGTAATAATTATTTCTCTGTTTATATTTAAAATTTATTGAAAAAAATAAGAGTATGTTTTTAATGTAATCGTTTTCTCCTTGAATATCCTTACTTTTTCTTTCATAAAAATGTTGTTTGCAACCAAATCTCCTTAAATATTAGCAAAATATCTCCTTAAATCTCCTTTAAATCCTTAATTTTAGTCTTAGTTTTAATAGTGGGAACCCTGTATTAATTACCTCATGATGAGTGTCAACTATGGAACTTATAAGGGAAGTGGTTGCAAATGTAAGATTAATAATTGTATTAAACAAGCTATTGTGCATCATTCTGCAGCTTGGCAGGAAGAGTGGCATCAGGTTCTCTTTAGTGATAAAAAAAAGCTTAATCTAGATGGTCCTAATTGCTATTAATATTATTGGCGCAAACTTCAAATTAAGGAAGAAACTTAGCTGAGTCGTAACTTTGGTGGTGAAACTGTTATGGTTTGGGGGGCTTTTTCCTTTGCTGAAAAACTTCCACTAGCATAGATTTTAACAAAAATAAATTCACAGGACTACATTGACTTATTAGAAATTAACTTGTTTGAACATGGTGAAGAATTGATGGGTGAAAATTTCACTTTTTAATAAGACAATACTGCTATCCATAATTCATACAAAATCTTGGTTTAGAGAGAAAATATTTATATAATTGAATTCCCCGCATGCAGTCCAGATCTAAACCCAACTTAAAATCTATGGGAAATACTTTCTAGAAAAATTTATGAAAATCGTAAACAAATTGAATCCACAATGGAGCTAAAAACTTGTATCAAAGAAACTTGGAATGAAATATATATAAAAACTATCCAAAATCTTTTAACTAAAATGTCAAATTGAATATTTGAAGTCATTAAGAACTCAGAATACTAAATATTAAATGAGGGTAAAAACAAAATATTTTCTGTATTTTCTTGTATATAATGTAAATGAGGTTAATTCTGTTTTCTTCACAAATTGAATGCTTTTAACTTTTTTTTTTCAATATGTAATTAATTAAACAAACCAATTTACAAATTTTTTAGTTATATTAGAGAATAATAAGAAATAACCGTAGATTTAATAATTGTTTTACTGGCATTTTTGTTAAACTAGAAAAAAAAATAAGGTGAGACCAATTCTATTTTCTCCGCTATATAAAGCATATCAAAAAAAGAAAACTCCAAAGCGATTGTTTGATGGAGAAATTAAAGCAATTTGTTGTTCAAAAAAGCTAAAACTTTTACATAATTGAAGACAATCAAACCTATTGGATAAAGAACTTTTTACAATTGCCAGGGTAGCAATATTTTAATTATACTAGTCGAAAGGTAGATATGTTGCCTTCAAGTGTATTCAAACTGAAAAATTTGGTCCTAAGTTCCTTAATGGCAAGCAATCTGCTCCTATGGTTTAAAAAGTACACCATACATTACTCATAAAACTTTAAAACGCAGACTTATATATAAAAGAATGCTTAAAGAAACGCCTTTTGAAATTAAAAAAATAAAATGCAGTTTAATATAAAGAATAACATTCTCAAAATAATTTGGCCTGATCTGGCTTCATATCACTACTTCAAAAAGTCTCTAGAATGGTATCAACAAAATTTAGTCCAATTTGTACCTAAGAATCCTCCAAATTGTCCTGAGCAGAGAGTTATAAAAGGAATCTTATTGAAAAGCAAGAAATACAAAAAATAATATAAAAAAGATTTGAAGAGAAATTAACTACAAATAAAAAAGATTTGAAGAAAAAATGGATTGCCGCCTCAGAAAAAGTAACTCAAAGCAAGATCCAGTGGATGATGTCAAGTACTTGCAAATATTTGGTTTCTATCTGAGCGTCCGATAAAAAAATAATTGAAATAAATAAATAATTTGATTAGCTTCATTGTGTCAAAATAACAAAAATCTGTTAAGTAGTTTTCACATAATTAACAGTTATAGGGTGTTGAATTTCATCGTGTTAAACCAATATTTTGTAATATCAAAAAAATCAATAGTTGAAAAAAGTTTTATGTGATATTTGTTACTTACCACATTTTTGTGGTTAGTAACAAATATCAGATAAATACTTGCTTAATAAGAAGGTCATTACTTAGTGTATCCATGTCTAAATGCATTCAATTTAGCATCATAAAAAAGAAAGAATTTTTGGGATAAACGCGTGAAGAGGGTGTAAAAGGGTACTGTTTTGAAGCTCTACTCCCCTCACACTTTGGGTAAAGTGGTTTAAAACTAAAATATAATCTTTTTTTTTTAAAAAAAAAATTTCAATAAAACACAAATTTTAGATGCATGAAACAAACTTAATAAACTAAAAGACTAAATGAAGAGCTCCCACGCAAAACCAGATAAATCCATATTCAAAAATCTTAACATA